GCCTGTGCAGCTAACCCCATCGACAGAAGTGCATTTGGGACAGTGCTCAGCACCAGAAAGAAACCTAGACTGGGGCAGTGAGCGGGAGCAAATGGAGGTGCCGCTTCAGTTTGGGCTGTGGGAGGAGGCCTCCTTGAAGCCAGGACGAAAGCTGAGGCCCGATGGCACAAAAAGGCCAGTGGGTGAGGATCTGGGGGAAGTGAGCTCCTGGCAGAGGGAAGAGCAGGCCAAAGACCTCTGGCGGGGGGGGGGGGGGGGGGGGGGGGGGGGGGGGGGCAATGTGCTCTGTGCACTGAGGATGGATATCCAAAAATGCCCTGCATGGCAGGAAGGACATGAACAAGGAGGTAAAAGGAAGGCGAGAAAACTGGAGCGTTCGGCAGGGGCCGAATCATAAGGGCCTTGTAACCATAGTAAAGAGTTAGACTTTTATTCTAAGTGTGATGGGAAACAGGGGAGTGACATCATCTAATTAGCATTTTTCTAAAAAATCACTCTAGCTGCGGTGTGGAGAATGGATAGCCGAGGGGTGGGGGGGAGTGAGAGGGCGGGGGGGGGGTGGGGGAGAGGTGGGTGTGGGCAAGAGCAGTAGTAAGACCAGTGAGGAGGCTGTTAGGTGAGAAAATGGGTGAACATATAATTTATCGTCCACACTGGGATCCTTGTGCATGCAAATGGGGGAGTTCCAGACAATTCATCAGTCCAAAAGGCATTACCCAGGACTTGCCACTGACAAAGCTCTGCCCCGGCCAGAGCCGTCATGGAAGTCTGTGCTGACACAGAGCGCCCAGCCCAGGCTCCTGGCCTGCTGCCCCATGCCTGAGCGTTTGGCTTTTATGTGGAGGCCAGAGGCTACAGTTACAGCACAGGGAGCAGCAAGGACTATTCCCTGAACTTTCTGATGAGGAGCTAAACGGCACAGCTACCACCAACACTGGGGAAGCAACAGGATGGATACAGCCTGAGAGAGAGGAAGCCGGGGAGGGGTGGACAAGCTCTATACTCTGGAGCAGGGATTCTACACTTGGACCTCAGGCGTTCTGTGAAGCAGGTGAGGGCCCACAAGCTTCCATCAGATTCACAAACCTAGGGCTCCAAAAGGGACAAAGAACCGATGCCTCAGGGAGCAGTGCTCCCCATACTTCGCTGGGCATCAGAATCAAGTCCTGGAGGACTTGTCACACTGGGGTGCCAGGCCCCAGCAGGTTCTGATTTAGTCCATCTGTGGGGACTTCTAACAGCTTCCAAGGGGGTGGTGATGCTCTTGACCCAAGGGCTACACCTTGAGAATCATTGTGTTAGAGAATCCAAGTACCAGAAGGGCTTCAAGTTTAAATGGGGAGCTTCCCTTTTCAGACAAGAGTTCTAACAGATGCCACAGTTGTCTAAACCACCCCAACTCCCAAAGAATTTGAGATTTTATTTTTGGAAGAAGCCCCTAGAGAGTGACACTCTGGACCTTCCCCTGGAGGTCAGGAAGTATCTGGGAAATATCATTGTGGAGGATGCAGGAAAGAGCCTCTGGAAAGCCCAAGCAAAACTCTGAGCTGACAACTAAAGGGCCAGCCCTGGCTCAGCCAATCACTGGGCCAACTGCTTGTGAACCCCGAGGTCTGGGGAATCTGAGCCCGTGCAGGTCCCCTCCTCGAGACTGCCTCCTGGTCTGGTGGGCCCAGATAGGAGGTCTGGTCTAAGATAGGTGCCTGCTGGGGGAATATTCAGGGAAAAGGAAAGGAATAACAAACTACATGAGATAATTCAAGAGCTTCATTCTCAGACCCTTTGATCAGGGCACTGTGGTTAGAGAGAGAGAGAGGCAGGAACAGTACTCAGGGCTGTGCTTACTTTAAGCAAGAGCAGTGGAGAAGAGAGGCTTGGAAGGGCCATTTGCCAGCTTTCCTCAGACCTGCTCTGAGTAAGTCATTCCCCCACGAAAGGGGAGGGGAAATGAAATGTGGATTCATTCATGAATCAACGTCCAGAACTGGAGGAACAGAAACAGGAAGTATGACTTTTGAGTTATGCGGAGAAATCCTCCTTTGCTATAGGGAACACTAGCTTTGCCACCCACCAGCTGAACACATCCTGAGGTGAGGCCACGATAGGGTCAGGAAGATCCTACTAGTTAGCGTAAGAGGAGGCAGAATTTGGAGAAGGCAATATGCACTCGAGGGACTGAGGTCAAGCATGTGTCCCAGCATCAGCCTGCTGGACTCGGACTTGAATTCTAACTGTGTGACCCTGGCCAGGTAACTTAATCTCTGGGTCATAATTCTCTAAAGCGGAGGTAATACTAGTGCCCATCTCACAGGGTTGTATTAGGAATTGAAAGAAATAATGTAGATAAAAATGCTCAGCTTGGAGACTCGCATATTTTAAGTACTCAATGTTAGTGGGGAAAAAAAAAAAAAAAAGTCCAGAGAAAGGCAAATACTGTATAATCTGTTAAAAGTGGAATCTAATTAAAGAACTCATAGTAAAATAAATCAGATTTGTGGTTATCAAGGATGGTTGGGAAGGGGAATCGGAGGAAAATAGAAGGCACAAACTTCCAGGAACATAAGTTCTAGGGATGTGACATATGACATGCTGACTAGTTGCTGTATGACATGTGCAAAAGTTGCTAAGAGAGTATATCCTAAGAGTTCTCATGATGAGGAAAAATACTTTCTTTTTATTATATCCATATAAGACCATGGATGCTAACAGAACTGATGCAGTAATCTTTAACAATATATGTGTGAACCATTACGCTGTATACCTTACACAGTGATGAGTCAAATATAACTCAATAAAACTGGGGTGGGGAATTATTAAAAGTGATGGACTTGGAAAAAAAATTTAGGACAATGGCAGTAGAAACCCACCCACAGTGTTATGGCCCAAGACAGAGAGAAAGTGGAGCCAGGCTGGAGCTGCTGCCTATCTCCCCAGGAGAAACCTCTCCTCCCTGGGGAGGGTCTGCAATGACAGCTGGGCACTCGGGGGCGTCAGGACTCCCAGGGTGGTGAGGTTAACTGGAAACCCAGCTAGCTGTAAGGTGCGGATATCCTTCTCTTAGTCTGTTTTGTGACATTTTCTCACTGCCAACCTAAGTGCCAAATGACCTAATTTGAATAAATCAAAATGAACGAAAATCAATGTTGGCAGGAAAATTGGAATGTTATGGGGAACCTTCTGGAGATCTTCAAACTTAAGGTAGAACTCCCATTTTCGGGGGTTGGGGGGAATCAGCTCCTCCTCTTCAGGTTCCAGAGCTGTGGGGGACAGTAGTACAGTGGAAGCAGTGCTGGCCCTGAGGTCAGCTGCAGTCAAAGGTGGAAAAAGATTCCTCTCTCCTCTGATCCTGAATGAGCAGAACCTCTTCCAAAACCCGGTACCCCAAATCAAAAAAAGTCTTGTCTGCTTGGAAAGAAGTTGTTACTGGAACAGGGAACAAAGAGATTTCTAAAAACCATGCAAAAGAGCCAAAGTGAATGACATGCCACATAAAAAGTTAACATCCACTGGAGGTGGGGGTGGGAAGAACTTGCCAATTACATCACTTTAGAAAAGAAAGAGCTAAGTTAAAATGACAAACAGTTCTGTTGAACATGCTGGGCTTCTTTCTTAAGGGGCTCTTATGGCCCTAAAAGCTTTGCCCTATAGTTCAGATCTACCCCAAGTCTGGGGTATTTGGCCTGTAGTCTTACAGAACCTCACCCCTTGCTCTCCAAGATGGCCACAGGGCATATTTAATTGCAGACCTCTCCCACAGGACCCAAGGGTTTGCCTTGTTCCACCTTGAGGAACAAGGAGAGAGGAGAATTTGGTCTCCTCTTCAGGAAGTATCCACCTGCTTGACCTCTGTGTGCCCCCCAAATGACAGGTACTGGAGAACTTAGGGGAAACTTAAGTTTGTTAGCACCTCACTCTCCTCCCCCTCTCACCTCCCACCCCTGTCCCCCTCAAATACTGGCACCTTCAGCTCTAAGTCTTTACACAGCAAAATTTCTACATTATTTCTATTGGAGTTGGTGGCTGTCAGATGTGGAAGCTAGTCTAACTCTGCTGTGCTCTACAAAGGAGGGCTATTTTAGCAAGAGAATAAATCAAAACAAAACAGTCTTGGGATTCATGCAAGGAAGACGGGAACTGTGAATCTGTGAACTTGAGATAGTTCTATGTCCAAGCACCGGTTTTTAGAATGTAACTGCTGTCATACACATGTAAGTAACATTGGAAAAAAAAAAAAATCCTATAGTGTTCCAAGCCTTCCTCAGATCCAGCCCCTCAGCGAAAGCATCAGTAAAGATAAAATGAGTAGAAAGTCACAAATGGCACTTTCAACTCCACTTCTAAAGACTGAGGGAGTCTGAGGCCTTCACTGATTTTAGTCAAAACTGGGATGGTTCTTTTTGGGCAGATAATCTAAACTTCCACGAGAAAGTCCTGTTAAAACTCTTTTGCTCACTCCCGTGCCACATTTTATCGGTAACTTCATTTATCGTCTACCACTCCACTCACTAGAAAAGCAGTTTTGAAAGGATCTTATTTTTAAGCACAACCTCGATTTTCTGTAGGGGATTCTCTTCATCTTTTGTTATATATGCTTTTATAACTCTTCCACTTTCCCAAACCAACTCCAACTTTAAAACAACAGAAAACCTTCCATGGGAAAGGAGCATGATCTACGAGAAAAGTTTTTCTTTTCAGCTGTGATGGCTAGGTTAACCGTCACACTAACAGAGAATTTAAAAAACTGAATCAAGCAGCAAGATAGGGAGGCCATTCACATAAAATCTTTAAGAAGAACCTATTTGTTGTCAAAGGGAACATAAAAGAGAGTTTTCCAGTGTGAGAGAGAGCACACTTCGGGATCACAGCCAATTAATGACCAGCCAAGTATACCTGCTGCTCAGTCCTAAAAGCGGTTTCCACCTATTATTAAAAAAAAAAAATCCAAGAGCAACCAGACCGCCACCCCAAAGGCACTGAAACAAAAGACTGATCTGTTTATGTAGTCACATGAAAAATAAACATCTTTATTTTTTGCCTACTTTATTTCATTTTTTCAAATAAAATTTAAATCTGTACAAAGTATACTGTTACAGTATATATTTTATAAGAATCAATGCCTAAAAGAATCACAATACTTCAATAAGCAGTACAGCAGACCTCGCTAGTTTCAGCTTTGATATTGAACAAACTCAAGCCGGCTGATGCACAACACATTTGCTTGGTTTCCACATGGTGAGTTCCCAGCACTGAGATGGGAGAACATGACAGCAAGTATGGTTATATTACAGCCCGACACACTGCGCTTCTTCATGTGATAATAACTGCACATATTTAATACAGAATGCTCAGATTTACTTTTTAAATTGCATTTGCTTACTTCTTAGTTGGCAAAATTCAGCATTCTTAATGGGGTCCCCAAACAGTGCAAATTAATGATATTCTACTGTATAATTGGCACATTTCCAATAAGGATTAACTTGTAAACGCAAAGAATATCACAACTTTGTCCTAAATTTTAACTAATATACATCTGGTCCATTTAACCAAAGTCATTTTGGAAAGATATTAAAGAACAATTATATTTCTGAAAGGATATAGTTTTGACCATTCTTTAGAGAAGATAAATTTTTAAATTGTCATTAAAATGTTTTACTATAAAAATTTTACAAACTTGATTAGAAATTTCAAGATTGATTCACAGCAGACAAATACAAACTGTTTATATTCCAACAATACCTACTCTTGGACTTTCAAATAGAGCACAACCATGTCAGCTGTGGTAACTAAAACTCTGAACAGTGTACTAAATTTATAAGTGGTGCTGGGTCTAGCAAGTGTAAATACACAGTATATTTTAATTAAAAGAATTGTCTTCTTTATACTTTATTTGTTTTCCCATAAGGAAACATTAATGTTTACATTCTTTAATAAAGTTAATCTTACATCAGAATATAACTTAATACTGTCAGCAACAGGGACCACACACAGTAAATAAGAAGCACATTTAAAATAAGTCTGAATTCACATAGATTAACATTTGTTGGTTAATAAAATATCGACAGTATTACAATCTTACAATATTTACAGTAAGAAAAATCTAGAGTAATATATACCTTTCACAGCAGGATTCCTTTTTTTTAAAATTTCTTCCAGTTTGGGATTGTGTATACACAAAAAAGCTCAAATAAAACGACTCTGCAATATAATCTTAAAATAATGACTAGTGGGGGAAATTCTATCACAACCATTGAAAATAATGGTGACTTTTCACGGAGTCTGTGGCATCTGAGAACCCAGTTAATTAACCAAAGTCCTGCTCAAACCAGCCTCAAGTTACCCAGATTAAAGCTGCAGAACTCCGGCCTTCCCTGACTGCTGAAAACCCAACAGATTTTCTCAACATGCTATAAGAAAAGAGGGAAAGTAGGTTTCAGCTCACACCTCATGGCTGGAAGCCTCCGGCCAGTGCACATTCCCCAAATTATGCTAAAAGAGGGCCAATTTCATCCCCAAAGCATCACAAGTTTATCTTCCAAACACAGGGCCGCTCCTGTGTGTTCTCCAAGTACACCAGGGTCACTCATTCCTCAACTCTTGTGCATTAGGACAAGGCATGAACTTGGCCCATATAATACACACCAGCATCTTAGAGACTTGGGACTGGGGCAAAGAAACAGACTAGTGCAAGTTTGCACTGAGATCAACAGGGAAAATGGGAAGCGATGCACATTTCCAATTAGAATGGCAAGAAGAAGACCCACATCCCTAAACTGGAATTTGGCCAGGGCATCAGAGTTAGCACCCCCTCTCTGAGTACCACAAGCGATTAGGATGTATCCTCTGGGCCTCTTCCAAAAGAGAGCATCTATAGCAAGTAATACCGTGTGGGACGTTAGTTCAGTGATGACTCCCAAGAAAGTTGATACAATTCTTGAATCTGGGGCTGTCCACAGCACTTGAGGTCACTCATCTGAGCTGTGACCTGTCCCAACCCTGCTTACTTTAAGAGATCTGATGGGCACAGAGCACTCAGGGATACAGCTGCTGGCTACTTTGGACTCTAGATCTCACGGGTAATCAACAGGTATCTGGGATTGAATTAGCAAACTGTACCATAGCTCCTTAAACAGACACTGTCAGGTTTGAAATCATGTCAAGCATGAATCTTCGCTGTCAGGTCAGAAATCAAAGTGGGAACCTTCCCACATCAGCCAAGGTTATTTTGTCAAAACCTTAGAGGAGTTGGACAGTTTTTCATGTTACGAGCGATTAGTTTACTTATTTCAGTCAAGCTGGATTGACAAACCAGACTGATCTATTTAGTTAGCTTTGTTTTTGTTTTGTTTTGTTTTGTTTTTGATTCTTATGTGTTAGCCCAAAACTGTTGTACTTGGGCTAAATACACTGACAGAGAAAATTCAAGCAACAAAAGTTTTCAGCAAACTTCTGTGGCATTTTCTTTTTCGAAGTCAAAGCAAGATCTAAAGGTATTTCTACCCAACAAAGTCTGTTTAAGAGTTTAATGTTATTTCCTTTTTGGTCCTATACAGAATGCTATGACTTCTATATAGGTCTGAATGCTGCTCCATGTAGATTCCTTCTGTATATCTAAAAATATATACTTTTCAGTAGTTCAATACATGGTTAATCTTCCCAGAGAGGAAGATTTTGTAATCACATGTTGCAAAGTAGAAAAACATCTCCTTTCTAAGAAAGGAAATATACTTTCCTATTGTACACTTTTGAATAAGCCCAAAGGCATGCACCAAAAATCATTATTAAAACTAATACATGCACTAAAATGGTGTAGAGTTAGACTTAAAGTGCTGCTTCTCAATTTTCAAATTTGGAGAAGACATTCTGTCAGTAGTTGACTCAAAGACATCCCCCCCAACCCACCCCACTCCATGGCATCAAGAGAGGAAAGTAAAAAGTATGCATAAATCTTTAAACTATTCTTTACATGGGGTAAAGGACAGATATATCAACTATTCTATTTATAAACTGGATTCCCAGTCTTAAACAAAATCAGTATTTACTGGTAAAAATTGTCAAAGCTAATACATCCAAACAAATGTTACTAGTAAATAATATTCTACATAGAGAATAATTTACTTTGGTTTTATGCACCTTCTCAAAAATACTGGTGTCCCATGTCACCAACTGATGTGTTCCAGCAAAGTTATAAGGCAAATCTTTTTTTTCCCTAGTGACATCTTGTTTCCCAATAGACAAAACTAAAATCTTTTGGTGAGGAAGGGGTTAAGATAATGGCTAACCCCTAGTCATCCTGAGCATTGTGGTTTATCAAACTCTACCCTGCTAGAAGCTGTCAGGCACCCTGACCCCTGCCTTGAACCTTAACACTAGACATGGCTCCCATGTCTAGAGAGGGATGCCCTGACTCCTTAGAAACAGCTCTCAGAACTTTACTTCTTTTTCCTTCCATCTGGATGGTCTAACGTCTAACAAAGCTGGTTACAAGTCACAATTTTAAGTAGGGGCCACCATCTAACAATAATTCCTATCTCAATGTTTTAAGCCAATAGTTTCTAATTTTATCAATTAAATGCATTATTATTATTATTTTTCCTATGGAGTTTACTTAGAGCAGAGATTCTTAACTTGGGTTTCAGAAGATAAGAGATGCCCCTGAGGTTATACGCAAAATTATCTGTGTAGGAGCAGTTTTTTTTCCCCCTGGGGAGCGGGTCCACCACGTTCATCAGATTATCAAAGGTATCTGTGACCCCAAAAAGGGGTTACAGGGATTTAGAGGGATACCCGTAATTTCTTTCATACCAGGATGGAGGGACGGGGGGCAGAAACTAAAAATGGCCTCAATAAAAAGGGCCAACTTATTGATCTTTCCCCTTTATTCACATTTGGGAAATAAGTGCTTCAAACTAGGAAAAATAATTAAGCTGATTGAACTCCAATAAAAATAATCAAAGCCATTTTCTAAATTTTTTCGTTTTTCATATATGGTAAAGTTTGTCTCCAAGAAAACGCTTGGAGACTGAGTTTTTGTCTCTTCCTAAAGAAAATTCATAGATATAATGTTGATCATCATCTACATTTAAAGAACTGACAACATGAAACTTAAGACAACAGCAATGATATGAGCCTCTAATTTACAATTTTGAGTAAAGGATTATCTAGAGTCAAATACACATTCGTCAACTTTCATTTCCCAAAATTGGTCCGCATTTAGACAACGACCAGCACAATTCACCAGATAAACCTGTAACCTGAACAAGGAAGATTTAGCTTTCTATCCAAATTAAAAACAAAGCCACAGATTCCACAACAAAGTCCAGCCACAAGCATTCACAGTGATGCATTTCAAATACATCACTGAATTTCCAACAAAATTTGCAAACATAAGATCCGGAATGACTAGCAAAACATGCTGAGAAGAGCATGTCAAGAATTAAAACACCACTCCCTGCACCCCCATCCAGAAACACACTCAAGCATTCCAAAAATAAACCAGATCTGAAAAGAGGCCTCTCACTTCTTGGTTTTAAGTATGAAGCATCTAAAAGGCTATAGGGAAGGGAATATAAAATTAAATAAAAATCAAAAATAATTTTAGCCAAAACACATTTCTGTTCTATTGACAAAACTGTCAAACTTTTTTTCTTTTGCAATTCTGAACACTGTTGTACAATCTCACTAAGACAAAAAAAAAAATATTCACAGGTACACATTTTGTTCCATTCTTTCTAGAGTACATTTTTGAGGTTATAAGAATGCTTCTAGTTAAAGTCCCTTACTCCTTGCCACCCTCGCCTCAAAAAGTGAGTCAACCTTGAATTCCAAAAAGGAATATTCATTTAATATAATTATTTCAATACCAGTTATAGCATACTGACCATGAAGAAACTCTATATTACAGAAATCTACACGAAAGAGGGAGCTGCCACTTGCCACTCGCTTCACGTCTAGCTTTTTAAGCCAATACCTAGCAAGACTCAAATCTCATTGACTTCAGTTGAAAACCAATCAACACTCCAGAACTAGGCCATCTCAGGCTGGAAATTGCAAAGAGATCATTTCATATACATACATAATACATACATACATACATACATACATACATACATATATATATATATTCCCTATCCTAAGCTTCACTTTGTCTATTCAAATAGTTTAATAAAGCTCACGTTTACAAAGGATTTTACTGGCAAATAAAGGCCCATATTAAAAATTTTATCAAAACAAAATTTTTATTCTATATAGCTAACACTAAGAAATATTTTCTTGGACTTATAAAGTATATTTAATTGCATATAAGTTTTGCTTTGGGTGGGATATTGAAAATAATTCTGTAAGAAATTAGAAAAGACTAGAAACAAAAATGAAAGTGACTAGTCCTGAATTTAAAAAAATCAAGTGCAAAGATAAATAGTGCAAATAAAGAAAATTAGAAATTTCATAGGCAACTTCACATAGTCTTTCCTGCTTTTGCACTTTTACACACTGACAACTTTATAAACCCTAACAACTGTATGCAGCATGGAAATGGGCTATCATTTATCTCCATTGACTAGACTCAAGGAAGTCTTTCAAAGATTTGTCTCACAGTCATTTAAATCACTGGTTCTTGACACAGCTTTGGGAATTCACCTTTCTTGAAGCGATTCCTAAGGGAGGGGCTATTTAAGAAGGCTCTGCACTGACTTAAACAAGTTATAGTACGGATCTGTACTATAATTAAAATCTGACACACAATAAAATGTGGAAATCATATCAAGTGCCAACTCTACAAAATCACCTATAACAAAGATAAATCTGCTATTGTTAACGAACTCGACATTTGTAACAATTAAAAAAAGTCACCTTCCAAACACAAAATCAGAACAACTTTTTGGCTATCTTTAAAGAGATTTTATCACTAACATACAAATTTGGGTAAAATTGAACTTGAAAGTAACCAGTCAATAGCACTGAGACTAAGTCGACACCAAACTAGAAAAGTTAATATAAATATACTTGAATTATAAAAAAAAATGAGTATTACAGCAATTCTTTATCTTAAATAATTTAAAATGATCCTAGGATAATGGGAACAGAAAACTAAACACAACCAGTTCAGCCTACAAAGGACATAAAGAACTTCAAATATGTACAAAATTATATTAGTCACATCTGCCACGACTGAAGTCTCAGGAATTCTACAACTCTAAAGTAACATGGACGGTAGGAAAATAAACACAAACCTGTAGGCAGGGGTATGTTATCTAGTTCCAGAAATGCAGTATTATTGAGGACCTCATAAAGCCTACAAGACTAAATAGTTGTTAGGATTGAAAATGAAGAAGAAATTAAAATATATATATAAAGTTGCAATTTATTGTTTCTACCCAGTTTTTTTAATCCTCTAGCTTAAAAATTTATGTGGACTGAAGGCTCAAGGTTCTGTAAAGCCAAGGCATAATATGGATCTTTGTGGACTGTAAAATGGAATGATTTGACCTAGGACTATTTTGAAAAGTAAATAAAACTACATTGTAACATGAGCTCAGAGAATAATGTGTGTAACTATTTCTGATAGTTTAAAAATGACAACTCTGAAAAAGTTTGAAATTTATCCTCTTTCCTCCAAAATAGTTAAGTCCCCAGTACCAACTTGGCTGGACCAGAAAAGTTGCCATCCCACCTTTGTGCTACTTAATTTGTCCTAATAAAGCAAACACCCTACACCTGAAAAAAGATTTGTAAATACATCATCATAACATCAAGTTACAGACCTAAAGCTTTCTCATAACCAACAATGGACGGGACCCATTTTCTCTAGCTTTATTGAAACTTCCTTACTGAACATCAACTCCATTGTCCTTAGCAAAAAACATTCATTTACGACTCCATCTTAGTAACTTCTCCTACCTGCAATAACAATTTCTCCCACTCTACCTCCAATCAAGTTATTCCTTTATTTACCTCTCATGCTCCCGTTTATGAACACATTAAACAGCTCTCCCCGTTCTGTGCTCAAATTTCTATACCAGTTAAGTCTCAGCCCCCAGTAACTTCCCCCAAATACACATACTTCTTACTCTCTTCAAAAGTCACAATTTCTTAATGTCCATGCCCATCAAACTGCCAACTTATGACTATGGGAAAAACAGCAGTCAGAAAAAAACTGCCTCATTACCTCATAATATACAATTCTTTCTGGATCATCAGTTAGCTATGTTTTAAGGCAGGAGTCAGCAATTTCTTTACTTCCCTCTCAAGGGGGTTAAGCTTGATTGCTACTGGGCAGGCTTTCGACAAGAACAAGAATAAGGAGAAAAAGGAGAGAGAAACAAGGAAAAAGGAGGATAGGAGAAAGAAAATGCCTATGTATATGGTTGGTAGGTAGGTAGGTAGGTAGGTAGATAGGTAGGTCGGTCAAATACCACCAACTACCTGCACTGGAAATTGCCAATTCACTCCAGCTGAATGGGAGTTTTACCCAATCTTACCATGTGTTTAACAATTCATTACCTGATGGCCATCACTAAACTAGCCAAGATAAATACCTAAGTCACCTGTCCCACAAGTGTAATGGCCACTTCATAATAGGACATTTTAAGTCCTCCTAGGATCCTTTTGTATGTCAATGCAGTTTAGACCAAAACACATGGTAAAAAGAGTTATTTTCATATTGTTCGAAATTCTAGCAGACAAGGGCTTGGTTCTAGAACTTGGAGTCCTCTTGAATCATTACAGTAGATCCTAAAATCAATAAAACTGAACTATTTAGCTTGATTTTTTTTTTCATGAAATGCTACCAAAATTTAATTATTGAGCAAATTACTGATAATCATCAAAAGCAAAATAGATAGTCATGAAAACACAAAAATCCTGAAAATCCAAAATGAGTAAAATATTTCTGGTCTGTGAGAAGTACATTTCATGCAGAGGATCACCACCATGTTGCTACCTATCAAACAAGACAATTTTCCACAAAAGCAAAGCACATCAGGAAAAAAAATTACCAAACATAATATGGGGACAAAATAAAAATGAATAGTGCTTGCTTCGGCAGCACATATACAAAATAAAAACGAATAGCTATGAAATTCTTTTTAAGAAAATGTTTTTAACAAGTGATCTTTCCATATTCAACTTTTCTAAAGACATAAAGTGCCATCAAAACTTTGCAGTCAGTTTAGCAGCTAAAAGATGACAAACTATTGGCTTGAAACCTAGCATATCTTTCACTTTTCACCTGGTTGTTCTTGCATCCTGAAACTCTACCTGCTAGTTTAGGTTTATCTTCACTTAGTCCGTAATGAAATTTCTGTTCAGAAAGAATCTGTGAAATGTCTAGGCCTTAAGTTTAGGTTTTAGGATCAAATAACTCCTCAAACATTAAAAGGCTATCTTTAAAATGTTGCAAATTCTCTACAGTAATTCATGCTGCTGGGTGAAAACAATAATTGTAAGAGCAGTAATCATTTTAGTTTTTATCATGTACTTCATTATGAAAAGCCTACATTCAGTTAGCTTGCAATGGGAAAAAGAAACCCTACATATATCATAAAGTATAATTTGAAAATGGATAGACTTGAACAGACAACTTTCACACAAATAATTTCAGCAAAATTATTCACTTTGCTGATTCTAATAAATTCTTTCCTATTCATTCCATTCTCATGGGGCAATATATCTCCAAATTACGAAGATATTCAGGTTTAGGGATAATAAACTATAAATGTTATACTCAGAGTTATCACCAATTGTTTCAAATCTAAGTTGCTAAAGATTCCCTTGCTTTAGTAACCTTTTACTAGAGAGCAGGATCTCATTCTGATATTGAAAAGACTCTTAAAAGGAGATAAAAGTCATTAGATTTGGTATCTCATTCTTTATAGGGAAGAACCTTAAAAGCATGTTCACACGTAAAACAAAATGAACTGTGGAGCTATGAAAGCCACCAGAGGAACAATTTCAGAAATCCCCATTATAAAACCATCTAGAAATGTGTGTGTTTGTGTGTGTGTGATATGAAAAAATGAGTGGGAATATCTGAGAGGTGAACCATATGTGGAAAAATAATCATGCCCATGGTGGGGTCACCATGGATGGCAGAAAACCCAAAATGTCACAAAAGAAAAATGTTAAGTTTAGAAAGTTTCAAGTGCCAAATGCAAAGCACAGAAACCAAAATAAATGAGATGACCCCCACGAATATCAAGTTCCATAGGAAAAAAGGAAGAAAAAAATTGACATATGCATCATCTGACATGTGCATACACCAAATCTTAACTGACTTAAAGAGGCTATAAAGTGCTTGGGCCATGGCACCCACCCGGACTCTTGTTATCAACAGACTTTTCTTTCCCCTCCCTTCCACCCCAATTTAGTTCCGTATTCCTGCAGAAAAAAATACACTACTCCTATATTAATAAGAAATGAAAACAGTGAGTACAACTGATATAGATCCATTGACTTTTATTACAAATGTACTTGATCACTTGGCTTCAAAAAGTTTAAAATCAATACCCTATTTTCTGTATGCCAGTACAAAGCAAACTTTTACAAATTAAATACCTAAAAATTTGACAAAAATATTAAAATTTGATGAAAAACAATTATAAAAATCCTTAATCTCTCTCTCTTCAAAAAAGGAGGCAGTCTTCCCAGTCCTATTATACAATATTAATAATATTCACCATTTTTAGAATAGGTAGCTAAATTATATTTTTCTGTTAGCATACAAAAACTCTTAGTCTAATAGAATTTATTTGTATATGCTCCAGTTAAGTTTGTGAATGCCATCTGATTGCAATATAATCAACTATCTTTAATTGAATCCTAATTTACACTTATTTAATAATTTGCATAGTTTAAAAGGGATAAAGGTTACTCTACAACTAATTATCATAGGCTATTACAGTGCTATTTTTCAAGGCAATAAGTATTTGCTCCCAAATGAAATGATCTGTCTTCTTTAGGCAGGGGTTAAAAATACTAGCAGCTTTCTCCATTACCTGAAAAATCAAATCAAAATAGTTATCCATCTCTAGATGCGAAGACCTTAGAAAACACACTTTGCTATACTTTGCACTTTGAGTCAATTACAAACCCCTGCATGGGAAAATTAGAAAGTGAGACTTTCAAGGTTTTTAATTTGTTGGTTTTGGTTTCTACTCTCCATGGCTTTTGAGAAGCTGGAAAAGTTTGTCTTTCCTGACTCGCATTGTCTTTTTTTTTTCATTTGGCAAATATTCATCTATCTCCAATCTGTATCTAGTGGAGGAAAAGCCAACATAGCTTTTCTTATGAACTTCCTTTGTCGTCAAAGGCATGTATAATGATTTCTACAGTTCTGGTTAGTTAACTTTAGCTCCCTCTGTGGCTGGATGACTGCTGCTTCTAACATCAGCATGATAAATAGGAGGCACAAGTAAAAAGTAGCTTTAAAAAAGATTTGGTGATTTAAAAGAAAAAAAAAAAAAAAACACCAAACACACACATATATATGGGCATTTCAGATCTGGTGGCTGATCTCTGAATTAAATTACTTGACAGTGTCTCTCATTTTAAAGAACATCAATATTGCAATGCATTTCAAGTTTTCTTTTATACTTAGGCAAATAATATAGTTTAACCAAGCTCTTGGACCTTAATTGTAAGACAAAGCAGATCATTAAAAATAAGGCATACTTGCAGGAATTAAGTTTTGTTTGCTTGTTTTTGGCACATTTGATCATACTGTCTTCTATGAATAACACATATGGTCAAATATACCATTTCCTTTTTTGTTTCAACACAAAACAGGGTATACCAACCAGTGAAATAAAAACAAGGAAAAACTCCAACATAAAACACTGAGATATAGAACCTTGGTAAAGTACCGAGCACCTGGGAGAAAGGGTGGGGAAAGGATGCAACAGGAGAGGGGTGAAGGGAAGGTTGGGTGTGTGGGGAGATAAAGTGAGATGCAAAAAAGAGCATCTTTACAGTCACTTAGTCTTTTCTATAATCACCTCTGAAGTCTTAAAAGATTTGCATGTGGATTTCTTTTTAGATCCACTGACCGTAAATCAGACACTGGTTTCAGAATCTTAGTAAGATTGTGTTTAACTGTTATAGTGTAAAGACAATTGCACAATACATGTGCTTCTTAATCCGGTAGGATTCCAAGCAGAATCTGAAGTCTATAGGTAAGCAAGGCTTCACTTTAGGTTAACTCTGACCCTAAAGAAAACCTCATGAAAGAACTCGCATCTCAAAGAAAGGACACTTTGCCTAAGTTTGCTGTGTTTTTGTTGACTTGCACTACTTATTGCTGGCTACTACGAAACACTGATCTAGGAGTACTCCAACAACCTGTAGTACAAGGCTTAACTTTAAGAAGCTATAGTAAACAAGAGACAAAATCAAAGCAATTCTCTTTCCTAACTAGTAACAACACAGAGAATGCAGTCTTTTCCATATCACAGTTAAAGTACAGTGAACAAAACAGCTCAACGAACCTTAAGACAAAAAAGTGCAGGTTATTAATGTTTACATGCAGTTGATAAGCATTCCAAATGTCACATTATGCACTGTAAAAGCTCAACTTTACTATACGGAAATAAGAAAAATGCACCTTGGGGGGAGGGGAAAGCAATTTAATAATTTCCAGTGATTTTGTAAGTAAAGAAACTCCTAACTATTGTACGGTCACCTCTTATTCAACGTTGTATGAATATTAAAAGCAAACAATTTAATGGGAAAATGCACAGTACAATGGAAATAGCTTGTTATTCAACACATACAGTAGATCTCAAAAACAAAGACAACACACTCAACCAGGGAGTTTAAAAGTATCAAATCAAAACCCAAAGAACCAGCAGAACAAAAAGAAAAAAAAAAAAAAAGAATCCTTCAAAAGGACAACTGTTTCACCTTCCTAGGCCAATGCTTTAAAATGTGAGAAGCACCAATACCTTCCAGCTCCTACAGGTGGTGTCTTCTACATACAGCAGTTAGATCTAAATGGCTGGATTTGCCAAGAAACAATTCCATCCCCAGAACTCTACCAGACAAAATCCTTTTTTTTTTTTTAACCAAAATACTTTCTACAGAATTCCAAATCAAAATGTACTGTTTAAGGCATCTTTTTTTTTTATAACATTTTCTCTTCACTCAAAGATGATAGTCATGCAGCAGTTTAATGATAAAAATATATTAATATTTTACTATACAGCAGCAAGAAGTTAGTTGTCAAATAAAAGCACACAAACATCTTTAAATGAAAACCTGTAAGACTATCGTTACAAACAATTTCAGTTTGGAGGACACCAGTTTGGTAAAGTGCTCTCCTAAGCTTTGCATTTTCATACCCTACAACCTTGATTATATGAGTTATAGAACATACTTTTGATAGGCTTGTACACTTAGGGAACACAAATACACTTAGCATATAATGTAGCCAGTAATAACTAGCACCACAGCTACATGGAAATCCTTTACATACACCAACTTGGCTTTCACTTCTAAAATGAAACTCAGAATCCATGGCTCAGTAGGATAACTATAATTGTGTTGCTTTGCTTTTTAACAGGTCTACATAAGTTAAAAGCACTGGCGAAAATCAAAGGATAGCTTCAGACCTCTTACAAGTTTAGGAGACAGTGCTAGTGACCACAAAGACTCACTACCTGATGTCCAAGTACAGGTTCACTGGAAATTGCTGCACGTTAGTTAAATTTTTAAACTCTTTCTACACATAATAAAAAAAAATATATTATGAACGGTACAAGTACATCTCATATACACAATAATGACAAAAAACGCCTACTCAGTCAAAGCAAACAGATGCAGAAAAATATTATGGGAGATTTCCTTTTTCTTTCTTTCTCCTTTTCCTTTTACTATTTGAATAACTTTGGTTCCAACCGTAAAAATCACAACTTAGCAAATTTCATTTAAATGCCTTTTTTAATAATTTCTTCATGTTCACAGAAGTTTCACTGACCATTTTTTATATGTTTAAGGTCCAGATGCAATGCATATTGTATAAAAGAGAGCACTTATTGTTTACCTTGCATGAATTAAACCTACGTACCTTTAACTCTACAAACTTCTGCATAACATTTAGACAAAGCTCAGACACACAGCATGCCTAGCCCTCAAATATATATACACATCTCTAATCACAGGTATATAGGGTGTCAAATATACTATAACCTCCATGTAAGGTCTGAAATTTGGTAACAAAATGAGAAAAACTAAAAATATTATTTTACGTGTTCTAAAATATCTCTTTTTTGTGCTAAAGTCAAATGTTAGCTCAACATGAAAAGGACTTTTATATAATTCAGCAATATTATAATCTTGACCATTTTGCAAACACTTTTAATAATAATAGCTTAAACGTGTACAAAAGTTCTTGGTTAATTAGGGAAATAAACACTCAGTTCTTTATATTTTTTAATCAAGTAGGAAACACAGTTCATATAATGTTATTACTTTTTGTATTTTTTTTGTTTTTTGTTTTTAGCAGCTGCTTACTGTTTTATATGGTGGATAAAGTGGACAACATCCAGCGATGGGTGGCAAGTCAAGAAGAGAAACTGTCAGTTGGTGGAGGTTCTGTGGGTGGTGCTCCCTTGGAGTTAACAGTTAATTTTTTTTTAAACTTTTTAACTTTTTATTTTCTCTCTTTACAGTATATTTTCTCTGTGTGTGACTGTGTGTGTGTGTGTGTGTGTATGCATGTGTGGGGGTTTATTTTCATTCAGTTTGATCAATCTTCTTCCCCTTCTTCCTCACCCTGCAGTAGCAGGGTGGCGGCGGCGGTCTCCTCCTGCTGCTGCTGCTGCTGCTGGTGGAGCTGCTCACAGGCAGCTCGCTTCTCCCTCTGCTTCTCTTGGATCTTCTTCATCTCTTCCGAGTACTTGCAGAAGGTGTGTCCGAACTTGGCCCACACCTTGTAGGGCACGGTGATGGAGTTGCGGTAGGTGGGCTTCACCTCGCTCACGCGCATAAACACGCCGTACTTGTTGGAGCCCACATCGAAGAAGAAGCGCTTGTTGTCCACAGTCAAGGAGGTGCCCTCGGGCAGCTCGGCCGGCTCCTCCTCCACGCCGTAGTCGTCGATGAGCTTGGCCAGGGCGTCGCGGAACTCGATGAGCCCCTGCGCGGGCAGCGCGATGGTCTGGCCCTGCGTGGAGCCCAGGCCGGGCCCCCGGTTGACCGTCTGGCGGATGCGCAGAAAGCGGCCGCGCTGGTTCTCCTTGAGATCCATGTAGTACTTGCGGTTCTCGCGCACCAGGAACTCGCTCTTGAGCGCCCGGCGCGGCTCGTCCTGCGCCTGGGCCAGGTCGGGCGGCTGGCTGGGGCCCAGCTGCGCGTAGTGTTCGATGAAGTCGCCCAGGTAGTCGCGGAACTCCACGGCCACGGACATGGAGAGGGTGAGGCGGCTCTTGTTGCCGCCCGCGCCCACCTCGGCGATCTTCAGGAAGCGGCCCTTGGCGTTCTGCTTCACGTCCAGGTAGAAGCGCTTGTTCTGGATGTCCACCCGCTTGGAGGCCAGCTCCTGCGTCTCGTGCTGCAGCCCCCCCGGGGCCCCGCCGCCGCCGCCGCCGCTGCCGCCGCCGCCCCCGCCGCCACCACCGCCCCCGCCGGAGCCCGAGCCCGAGCCCGGGTGCCCCAGGGAGCCGCCCGAGCCCAGCGCCGCACCACCCTGCTCGCTGCCGCTGTCTCGGTCCGCCATGATGCTGCGCTCCGCCGCCGCGCCGCCGCCGCCTGCCGCTCCGCCCGCCGCCGCCTCAGTCGCCTCAGCCGCCGCTGCTTTCCCTCCCCGGCTCCGCCTGCTGCCGCCGCAACCCCCACAGCCAGCAGCGCTCTCGCGAGATCTGCGGGAGAGACGAGACAGACGAGACCCGGTAACAGGGCACTGACGCCCAGTACAGTAGCAGGCGCCCTACTGTACGCGCCCACCGCCCGCCGGCACGTGACCCGCGCCCCCTCCGCGCCTCCGGCCCCGCGCGCCCGCCCGCCAGGCGGCGCCCGCCCACCGGCCCTCGCCCCACACCCCGCCGCGCCAGGGGGGCGCGGGGCGCACCGCGTCGCAGCTGCCGCCGCCACCGCCGTGGCCGTCGCTGTCGGCCAGACCCCGGGCGGCTTCGGCCCAGGGAGTTGGGGGACTCGGGGGAGAGGGGACTGCAGGGGAGCGGGCCTGAGCTCTGCTTTCCTGTGACCCTAAAGAGAGGATGTTGGGGGAGGGGCCTGCGCGACGCCACTGAACCCGCTGCGGAGAGGGGACACCAAGTCACGGCCCCCCTCCCCGTGGGCCCCAGCCAGACTCAGACCCGGACCCAGACAGGCCCACCCGGCGCCCGCCCGGGCTGTCTCCTACCGCAGAGCAGAGCCCTGGCCGCAGAGGCGGGCGAGGAAGAGGAGCGGTGGTGCGGTGGTAGCCCTGAGCTGCAGAAGGGGCTGCCAGGGATGAGGACGGGGCGCCGGCGGCAGTGGTGCGGAGCAGCAGACACCTAGCCAGTCCCTCCCCTCTCCCTCCCCTCGCTCCCGCCGCTCCCCCTCCCCGCGCAGCGGCTCTGGCCTCAGATGATCCCGCTCCCCCCTCCCCCCAACCGCAGCCCCGCACAGTCGGGCGGGCGGGCGCACTCACCGGCGGGGGGAGCCGCGCAGAGGACGGCGGCCGCGCCAGGGCCTGGGTGCCCGCAGTGCCTGTTCCCGTGGGCTCCACTGCCCCCCCACAAGCAACAATCAAAAAGAAACCCCACACGCACCCAAAACCCTCGAATCAGGCCCCTCGGGGACCAAGACTGCCCGCCCGCTTCCCCCTCCTCCTCCCGAGATTTGGGGAAGGGGGGCACCAGCTCTGGGCCGAGCCCAACCGCGGTCGCCGGCCAGCTCTGCGGATGAACCAGGCCCTGCCGAGCCCTCAGCCCCCAGCCCACTCTTCTTCCTCTCGAGAAGGACCCAGAATGGAGGAGAAAACCCAGCAGGCTTTAGGAAATTCACAAGCTAAAAATGTCAGGAATTTCCTGGGAAACGCATTTCCTTACGGGATTCATTAAAGCAGGTTCGTTCGCCCCTTTCACCCCTCCTCCCAGAAACTTCTAAGTGTCAAGAAGAGCCCCTGCCTCCCCCCCAAATAAAACATTAAAAGAGCACGTTTATTAGGCAGACTGCTAGATTACCGGCCGTTAATTAACCAACAAGTCTTTGGAGAGTGACAGCTAAATGAGGGGTCGCTCTGATTTTAGAAAGGGGCTCAAATAATTGATTTATATCTTCCTAGATCTCAGGCATAAGCGAAGGCCTATTTTCCTCTTTCCCAGATAGATAGCAAATGTTTCCTCTCCCTCACTGCAGTCTGCAGTCCTGGCAGCCTGTGGGAAAGTTAAGGCCTATCTCCAGGGGATCCCCTGACAATGTCCCTATATTCTCCCCATCACCTTCTGGAGGGGTCTCAGAGAATACAGACTCCACAGCCCTACTCTTGGCATTTTCAAAAAAAAGCATGGACTGCTGCCCACAACCTGAGAAAAATGTGCTTATCCCATCCGTGGGCTCCGAACCCAGTGAACATCCCCGCTCCCCAAAGTAAGCCGACTTGTCTCTTTTACTGTTTGCCCCAGAGACAGTGGAGTACCTACTCACTCTAGCTTCCTGGAAAAAAGGTGGGTGAAGAAAAGACTAGAGATCAAGAAACCCAGACCAGTCCGGGGCTTTAGCCTGACCCTAAAATAACACTTCACCTCCGGGGCAAACCAGCCTGCTAAGAACTCCCAGCTTCCCTTTCTTTTAGCAAAGGCCCCATTCTACCCAGTATTAGCCATTTCAGCTATGGGTTGACATTTGTTACTTCCCACTAAAGAGGAAGAAACAGGGCAAAGCACCCTGACTACCAAAGAGCAAACTGGGGTAGTCCTATGAACTAGCCCTAGAACCCCCGTTTGTCCAGTGGTTCCTGAAATTGCTCCCTGAAGGAAAGGCCCACTCTGCGAGAAATCCAGGCTTCGGGCCTCATTTAAAAAAAAAAAACAAACATCCGTTTAGTTTGGGGGCACCCTCCAGTACCCCACAGGACCCTTTCGGTGCTTTTCCTGCACTCCCTCCCCTATCCCCAAGCCTGTCTGGAAAAGAATATAGGAACCCTCAGCACAAAAATGCATGTGCAAAGTGGCGGCTCCACCAGGCTCACAGAGTAGCGATCAGGACCCTGGATAGACCCCGGCCCCAAATAGGGTGGCAAAGGCTGAGTAGCAGTGTCTCCACAAAGACCCCTGCAGGATATGCATGCCTCATCTCCACTGAGACTAAATCTCACGAAATCCTACCTAGAAAGACCACTGCTATGCGTCAAGGGTTTACCTTGCGCAGAACCAAGCCCTTGCCCCATCCCCAGTGCTCAAAGTAGCAACAAAGCCAGTAGGATTGCGCTGTGGGGGGCAGTCGGCCCCTGCCTTTTGTCCTTGCAAAAGTTAACGCACCCCCACGCCCCCCCCCCAGAGAGAAAACTAGAGCTTGCAACTGTCCACCTTCTTGGACCATCTCTAAATTTCTTGCCCTTTGTCCCAAACATTTACATCCAGGGATTCTGAAGCAGTGTGCGTTTGGGAGTGCCCTGATTTTCTGAAACAGTGACTGTCTCCAGGAACGAGTTCTTAGTTCCCCAGCGCAGAGGCAACTGAAGAAGTTTCTAGACAAAACACAAATTAAATTTCATTTGCACGCTTATACTGGGAATTTTAAGCTTAAAACAGCGAAGGACTGAGACCTGAATATCTCTACGTAACTATGTACTTACTTCTTTTATGCTAGTTATTTTACGTATGTATAACATATATACACACCAGCAATATGTACCTGCAATCTTGCCTGCTTTATAAATGTATTTAAAAAGCAAACAAGATTATTAATGCCTTTCCCAAAGTAATCCAATGACAAACTACATATTTAGCACATTTCCACTGCTCACATAGTTCAGGATAAGCCTCTAGTGTGGGTTTTTGGTCAGACTGGCGGGTGGGGAAGGTGGGGAGAGAAAGTTGACTTTCCTTACACCATATAATATAGTACTTTAAAAGACAGTCTGGGAAAAATGAATATTGACTCAGAAAAATCTCACAACAAAAAGTTGAGAGCCTTAAATAGAATTTCAAAGTTAGATTTGCATGTTTGCACTGAAAATCCATTAGAAAATTTGTGAATTTAAAAAGACTACTAGCTATTTGTTGATTACCTAAACAATATACTAACTTGGTAAATGAAGTCAGCTCTAGTACTTAGTTGTCTGAATTTGTTATTTTTAAAAAATTGGTTGTAAAATGAAACCCACAAATTTCATTTCCTAATGTAGAAAAGACTAAGGGAAAACGAAATATAGTACTATTCAGTAAAATATCTGTTAGCGAAAAAATTGTCAGAATTACCTCTTTTCTCCTCAAGGTAGGTTTAATATTTTAAAAATCTCATAAATGTCTCTAGAATTCTTATGCTCTCTCATCAACACTGCACACATTTTGAAGGGAATAGAGATTGCTTTATTTTTAATTGCACTATCTCTGTGTCTTTAACTTTTACCAACAAAAAATTGCATGCAAGTGAAACAGACATTACCAGGCAGAACAAAAAGGGAAAAAGCCTTGATTTTTCTCAGCATGAACTACAACCGGTAATTCTGAAATTAGCCCAATAAGCTTTGATTTTTAAAGGTAAAAAATCAACACACACATTTATAAGATAGACTTAGAGAGAGGAAATCTACCCCTGATTAATAAATCCTTTTGGATTATAGAATTCCCAACAGAAATAATATGCTGATTAATACTTGACAGAAATCACAGCTTTCCAGAAGAGAAGAGAGACAAAAACATTACAACTGATATTTTTCAAGTCCTACTTAGGTTAAATGCCAGTCTTAAACCAGACAATTATCTTCAATACCCAAATCATTAAAACCAACTGGAATGTTGTACTGCAAGTGTTCAAAGTAGAGGGATAACCGATTTCATCTCATGGCTATCTACTAGAAAAATTAAGGGAAACTCTCAAGTAAATCTTAACCTTTAACAAGAACAACAAAGATTTATAGTAATAGTATTTCACTGGTCATTCTTTAGAAGCATACCCCCTTTCGATAGCTCACCTATTCTTTAAAATTATGCCTCTTCAATGCTATTTTGATGTTTAAGGTTAAAGCCATGAATCAAGCAATTAAAATCCGAAGAGAACAATCCATGTGATAGAACCCTCGCATTTCACAATTCATTTCAAGCATTTGCAGAAGAGTTAAATAAACGTACCACACATTCTAAATTCGATCAGAGATTCAAAGAACCCGACATTTTATGTATCCGAAAAGTACAAACAGAAGCCATGCAAATGTTAATAGCTCTCTACTCCGGCTGATACTTAAATGGTTTTACTAGTACCCAAAGGAATGAAATCAGCAACTCTAACACTGGTCAAACACTCCCAATTTTCAAAGCCGCAAATCGCAAACGTCAGTTTGGGCGGGGAGCTGTGGGGGGTCTTGCAGTAATCAAATTCCTTCCCTTCTCTGACAGTCTCCCGAAAGATGTCAAACCAAATTCAGTTTATTATCAAGCACTGGGACCTCCCTTCCAAGGACACGGGACACAAGCATAGACACCGCTGCAAAAATCTGTCCAAAAGCGCCTATTCCGACAGAAACGTTAGGGGTCCAAATAAAAACGAATGAGAGCCCTCAAGAGGGTCCCGCGGAGACAGCGGAAATGAAGAAAGCATTTACTCAAGGGGCAGACAGCAACGAACCAAAGAAAGTTGCCCCAGGCTGACTCTTGGGCCTTTCGCGATCCAAGTTCAGACTCAAGATGGGAGGGATGGGGGGTGGCGGAGGGAGGGGCTGTCCCTTCCCCGACAGACATCTCGGTAGCCTCTGGAGCCCACAGTCGCTCAAAGGGAAGACTTTCCAGCTTCACAGCCATTTCTTTTGCCCCCGACAAAGGCAGAAGGGGCTCTTGCCTGACTTAGCTTTACGGGGCAGCAAAAATGCCTTGCTTGGGCCACCCATCCCTAGGCCTGGCTTCATCCGCGATGTCAGCACCAGCACCAATGTATTATTTTTTATTTTTACAACGCATCCGTGGCGGGTGTATGCATTGCGGGGGAGGGGGCCAAGGGAAGGGGTTGAACGGAGGAGAGGAAGGGCTGGTAGTGGAGCGTAGATGATGGAACCCTCTTTCCTCTCCCCTCCTGCCAGGGCTGCTGTGCAGGGAGTGTCAGCCACGTTTGGCGCACTGTCCCAGGCCCCGGGCGAAGGTGGCCAGGGGGAAAGGAGCTATGGATTGCCATGCAAATCGCACCATTGGTGGTCTGGATTTTTTTTAAGGGGCGTGTGATTTTGTTCTTTTTTGGAGGTGGGAGGGCGTTCATTCGTTGGTGCGCTACAGGGGTGGGGGGGCGTTGCTGCACTGCCGGGGTCCCCGAAGGGAGGGTGCGGGGATGTCTACAATGGTACACGGATCATTCCCGGGCTATGAGAGGGTCACCAGAGGGGATGGGGTGGGAGGGACCTCGCGCTGTGGCAGTGGCGGCAGGGAAGGTCGCGAGGGGCTTACCCGGGAGGGCGGGCGCTGTCCTGCCGCAGGTGAGGGAGGGCGCGGGCTGGAGGGAGGGAGGGCGCGCGCGAGGCGGGCGCGAGGAGGGGGGAGGGGAGGAGGGCGCGCGCGCGCACACCTGTCCTGGACAGCGGCGCGAGCCGAGCTGCGCCTCGCTCGGGTTCCGCCGGCTGAGGAGGGAGGAGGGCGGGCGGGCAGGCGGGGGCGGGACGCCGAGGGGAGGAGGAGGAGGCGGCTCGGTCGGCTGGCTCGGCTCGCGCTCGTTCTCCCCTCCCGCGGGCAAGCCCGGCTCGCACCCCGCTTCTCCCGCTCACTCACAGCCCCCTCGGCTCTCCCTCCTCCTCCTCCTTCCCCTGCGGGATCCGCTCGCCGCCGCCGCCGCCGCCGCCGCCGCCGCAGACGGCTAGTCGTGGCAGCCAGACGTCGGCGCGTAACCCGGCGCTCCGTGCGTGACTCCGGGCGACGTCAGCGCGCGCTCCGCGCTACCCACCATCGCCCCCCCACCCTCCCCCCGTGGCTCGCGCCCTCCGCCCTCGCGTCCCTCCGTTGCTGTTGCCGCGGCGGCGACCGCCGAGCGCGCTCCCTCCGCCCCCATCCCGCGCGTGCGCGCGCCTTCCCCGCCGTTGGCGCGTCAACAGCCCGCGGCCCAGGCCTTGAGGCGCGTCTGGGGAGGGGGCTGCCGGCCGTCTCGTCGCCGGCACGGCCTCCGCCAGCCGCCGTAGCGCCCCCCGGAGGACTTAGGCCTCGTGGGGCTCCGAAGGCCGAAGCCACACTCAGGCGGGGATAGAACCTTTAGGGCCTGCGTCAGCTCCAACTTCGGGCCCTCTGCGTCGTGGTCCGTGCCGCTGCCACAGCGTCACCGTCCCCCGCGCCCCCCTCTTTCCGCCTGCGTCCCTCAGGAGGCTGCAGGCCTTTCATCTCCCGGGAGGGTCTCACCTTGGCCTTCAGACGCCCGCCCAGAGGGGCTGGAAGGGCAGAATTAGCATAAAGAAGAAAAGAAGCTAGACCACGTTCAGGCGGTAGCCCCGGGAATCCTTGACAGGAAGCGTGGGGTTGCTGCCCAGCCTCCCACGCAGTGTAGGTGAAACTGGGCCCCTTTGAGGGACTGTGACCAAAGACAGAACCCTGGTAAATACTATTTATGCGTCCTTGGGCCGAGAGGGAGAGTAAAAGGGATGAGTTCATTGTCAGAAATTGCTGTGCAAGGACACAAATGTCCTTTAAGACAGTTTTCTTGAAATCTCACCAAGTTTGACCAGGTTTTGAGTGCACGGAAACTTTTCCCCTCCCTTTGTGTGCTGTCACTTCTCCATCCTGCAACTCCTTGCATTGAAGGTGGACCAGTTGAGAATTATCTGCTGCAAAATACTTAGAAAACTGCCTTCATCATCTTTAGCATTATTTAGATAGATCTCAGGAAAAAAATCAATCTGTGATTTCGGAAAACTGTCCTAACACTGTATTTTATTTTGTAGTTACTTTCCAATACACCATTAAGACACCCTTTTATTAGGCAATAGTAGTTTTTAAACTCACTTATTATGGGACCTTTTCCAATAAGCTTATCTAGTTAAGCCTTCGGGGCAAGTAATGACGTGCAATTAACCCTATTTCATAGCTGAGAAAATTGTGCTGGAAAAATGTCGGTTCAGAGTCGCAAGGAGTTTGTCCTCCATAGAGGGAAATACCTTGGGTTTATCTCTTATTTTATCCACTAAACAAATCTCTCGATTCTTTGCTTGGAGGTATCTTTTAATGCCCCCCTCCCCTTATGTATTGTAAGTAGTGCCTAAAGTCAGAAATATATGTGGGAGGTATTCCTGGAGATCCCAGATCACAGAGGACTCAAAGGTTTGAGGTTGAAATGTGCTGCCATAAAAAGTACAGCCCAGCTCTAAATTATTGTGAACCAATTCAGCGTCCATACTAACAACAACAAAATGTTTATTAATCCCTAGAGATGAGAAAATTTTTGAGACAGTTTTAAGAGGTATGGTTCATTTCCTTTGAATTGCTTTTTTATTCACCTCATCTTTAGGTGGCAGCACTGCAATATAAATATCTTTAAAACTAGTCTGCAATTTGGCATCCTAGAGAATGTTTTGTCCTCAGTGCTTCCAACTGTATTATGGAGATTAGAAGCTGGTGAAGATATGAAGTCATAGCTGAGAATTAGAATACTTAGGAAGTTGTAGAGGAAGCAAAACAAAGACCTTCAGAGAAATTAATGAAATACCTGGAGCTACTGAGGGAAAGAATCAAAATTTTAGAAAAGTATTAAAAGTTTTTTTGTTTTGTTGGTTATATGAGCAAGTAGCATCTTTATACCTGATTTCTTATTGAAACAAGACAAGGTAACCTTTCAAAGGAAACCATCATTTCTCAGTAGTGCATATTTATCAAGCATTTATGAGCTTAAAGTTGTTAATTGTATAGTTGCCAGGACACTAACCACAACTTAAAAATTAAGTTGCAGTTTTCCTCATTAAACTGCATGAAGTTTATGGACATCCCAAATAGAACCTTATTGTTGACCCTTATGGAATAGAACCCTTCTTGGCTCCCTTCCTGATTCCCCAAACTGTTCATTTTATACAAAATAAACTATCATCATTCAATCTCAGAGAAGAAAAAAGATAAGCTAAATCATATGTAAAATTACAGCAATTGACAGTTATTCTGTATCTTAATGTCTCCTGCATTTTTTAGGGTAATACTTGTGATATATGGTAGTTATTTGAATCAAGTGTTTTCTAAGTAGAAGTTTGTCGTGATTTATTTTTTATGTTTATAGTAGTTCTCCTTGTATCCCTTCATCCAAGCAACTAAAGTGAATTTACATGCATTCCAAAATAGGTCGCATTAGATTTACAGTGTAAACACAACCACCAAGGAATATGACAGAGATATGACAAGAGTGGGAAATTCACAGTATTTCTGGGTAGAAGATGAAGGGTTAATGAAGTCTTTTTTGATGGCAACTTTCACCTTTCTCAAGTCAAAGTTGGGGAAAGAGCCTCAGGCATATTGGTAGACCTCAAACTCCACAGCATTATGTTAAGATTTTTAAACTCACTGATGCCAGCAAATCATGCAGCCCTGGGGGCCTTTGCTCCAAACTTCTGCCAACTCCCTTTTGGCAGTAAAGTGTTCTGTTGAACAAAGTTTGCACGTGTTTGGGGTGTGAAGTGGTTCCTGGAGCATTTGTCTGTTTTTCTTCCAGTTTAGGGACTTGAAGACAAGGGTCAGAAGTATGAGCATTTATATAGTTCATATGTACCCTGAAACACACTATGCTAATGATCTTGAATTTTCCCTCAAACAAGAACAACTTTTTCTTTCTTTGTGCAGGAATTATTGAAGTGGACCTTTTAGCTACTCCTTAAATGCTAGCATGATGCTGAACCAGTTCTCAAGAAGTAGGTAAGCTCTGTTGAGACTATAGAGCTGGGGGCAATTACTCATCCTTCTACCCACAATATAATCAATTTTTTTTTTTTATGTCTATGAGTGTCTGATCTTTTTCTGTATCAGTTATCTTACTTCACCTTTTTTTTTTTCACCTCCCTCTCCGCATTTTGGTGTCATTGTTTAATAACACCTGGCCCAGATGTGTGTGCTAATTTGTCTAATTTAGGGTTCCTCTTCTTGTGCGAAACATACAGTCTCAATTTACATTATTTTTTCAAGTAATTCTAATAGAAAATCCTTGTGTGATCTGGGGTAACACAGTTCCAAAGCCATTAAGGTGTTAGAGGATTTTATATATTTTTTATTTATTATATATTTATAAATATACATTTTATATATATATATTCCCTTTCTGATTTAAGATAATAGAAAGAAAAAAAGTGCAAATGTAACATCTTTAAGCGATACTATTATCTTACCTTTGGTGATGATCAATGGAATGTCAATTTGTAGGGTCCAAATATGGTGATTTGAAATGGTAGTTATTTCCTTCTCTCTCAGAGTAATTCTCATCAGAACTAACATGTGGATGAGATGGAGAGGAAAGCTGGGCCTTTTGAAAGAGTGGATCTATCTGGACTGGAGACTACTATTGAATTTAGTTGCATATTTTATGGCGAACACAGAACTCCTTTGTTTGTTTGCTTTAGAATGTCAGTTTGTTGCTGTTTTACTACCTGGAGCAGGTAAAAGGGACCGTCTCTGTGGAGGCTATAGAACTGGGGGAAATTACTCATCCTCCTACCCACAGTACAACCAAAATGTTTTTATCCAGATTAAGTACCCATCCTTTAGAAGGTGTGTCCATACAACCAGATACCACTGCCTTCTGAGGTTAATTTATGCCAATTTTACAACCAAATGCAGTATGAAGTACTTTACAACTAAGTGAAGGTCAGTTGGGTTTCTTTCTATGGTGAGTGAAATGTTTCAGGAAAAAAATAATACTCTATAGGAAAAATGCAAAGTATGTCTTTCTAATATTTTGTGCTATAGTATTTTTATCTTAAAATTATACTTTTTCTTCTTGTCTACTTGAATACTCAAACAAAATTAATTATTAAATGTAAATGTATAGTTTTTAAAAATGTATTTATTTATGCATACAAGAACTGGGGTACAGGCCAGAGGTGCAGGGGGTGAGAGGATTCACCAGAGACAGAGCTGGGAACAGAACAGGCAGATCTACTGAAATTCACTGCTAAGGGGAGCAGCAGGTGAGACAGGAGAGGTCTTCTGTGCCATGTGGGTAGCTCCCTGGGTGGCCAGGGATGGAACTCATGCTGCAGAGGCTGCGGATAGCTTCATAGTGCTGCACTTAACCCTTTGTACCCCTGGGGAGGCCCTAATGATTAGTTTTTAGTTCCTAGATAATAAGCCTTTACCTATGGGAAATATTGCATGTGTCTAATGAAGAAATGTTTTCAAATTACTCTTTGAAATCCCACTAATTTACAAATTATGTAAACACATTACAGTTGATGTTTAGAAGGCATTTTAGCTTTTTTGCCTTGAACTTCCTTTTGAACAGTAGTAGTATGACTGCTATATCAGGACTAGTTCTTGAACCCCATCACTGTTTACCAGTCGGTCTTATTTTCTTGAGTCTTTTATTGAGCCATATCTGTCAAGAATTTGCTAGCCTGACATTCTAGGTACTTAAACAAAAACAAAGTTCCTGCTTTTACAGAAGTTCCAGTTACAAGACAGATAATAAATCTACAGTGCTGCATAGTGACAAGTGCTAAAAAGAAAAATGAAGCAGGGCCTCCCCGGTGGTGCAGCAGTTGAGCGCTGGCTTGCGAAGCTGCCCGCAGGCTCTACAGCGCAGGTTCGATCCCCGGCTCCTGGCGAGGGTCCTACATGGTGCGCAGACCTCTCCTGCCGCCTCCTGCTCCCCTCAGCAGTGTACTTCAGTCCTTCTGCCTGCTCTGCTCCCTGCTCTGGCTCTGGTGAATTCTCTCACCCTCCCGGCACACTTCTGACTGTAGCCAGTGCTTGTATAAATAAATAAATAAATCTTAAAAAAAAAAAAAAAAGAAAAGAAAAATGAAGCAAGGAAAGACTTTTCTGAGTGATTGTGTGTGAATGTGTGTGCATGCTTCCCACTTGATTTCTAAACAGGATAATCAAGGAAGTCTGTCTGAAGGTAACATTTGAGCAGAGTCAGTGGATCCTGGGAGTATCTGAGGAGATGTTTCAGGCAATGTGAACAATTTATGCTACATAAAGTCACCCAGGTATAATTGAGGTAACATCCCATGTAATAGTTATGAATACGTCATTGTTTCTTTCTTAAGAGAAAAAAGAAACTCCTTAAGGGCCTCCCTGGTGGTGCAGCGGTTGAGCACTGGGTTGCAAAGCTGCCTGCAGCCTCTGCAGCGCCTGTTCAATCCCCGGCTGCTCCCCGGCCACCAGAGGAGGGTCCCACATGGCACGCAGACCTCTCCTGCCGCCCGCTGCTCCCCTCAGCAGTGTACTTCAGTCCTTCTGCCTGCTCTGCTCCCCGCTCTGGCTCTGGTGAATTCTCTCACCCTCCTGCGCTTCCGACTGTACCCAGTGCTTGTATAAATAAATTAATAAATCTTTTAAAAAAAAAAAAAAAAGAAACTCCTTAAGTGTTCTGAGTACTCATTAGGTTTTCAGAAAAGTTTTTCATTGGATGTCACCATTGCTGTTTATTTCCCATGATTTTTATTCCACAATTTAATGTAATAAAATTATGCTTCTATAAAGTATCATGATCTCTGAAATATGTATTTGACTAAGGGCTGTTTGGTACCTGGGATAACAAATGTTAACTAAAAAATAGATAGCATGATATACATTCCTAATTTAATTCAGAGACATGTCTTGCCTCAAGCATTTTGGATAAAGTATTACAGACTTGCACCAGATTTCTTCTTGATTTTCTGATTAAATATCACCATTGGTGTTAATCTTTTGATATCTTTTATTCAAAAGTATAGTATTTACATAATGCTTGTTATGTTCTTGGCATTGTGTAAAACACTCTCTACATATTACAAAAAAAATCCTGAAAGCAACCTTATGCATAAATTTTAATATTTATTTTAATATTAAATTTTAATATTCATCCTTAAATTTTATTTTTAATCCTTATTTTAATATTTATCCTTATTTTACAAATGAGAAAACTGAGGCACAGAGAGATTAAGAAACCTGCTAAAATCATACAGTTACTAAGTGGTAGACCTAGGATTTGAACATAGACAATCTTCCTTGGCTCACACTCATTAAACTAATTCTTTTCCTCATCCCTCTCTCCCCACCTCTCAGCTTTGGAGAAGTTTTGAATATCAGTCATGCTATCAAGAACATGTTTTCCCTTTCTACTCTGAAATATCAGACATCAAAACTTTACACATTCTTTACAAATATCTTCTAATACTTTTTTTCATTGTGTTTTATTTGCTTCTGCTGTGATTTTAGCCATTTCTGTCTCCAATTGAGATTAGAGATTTTCTTATCCTCATTCTCAGTCCGATGAGTTTTCACATTAACCTTCTCTTTCATTGTCCTTTTCCTTTCCTCTGAATACTCTTGGATAATTATGAGGCATCTACCTTACTCTCTTGGCCTTGTCAGATGTCAGACCACATGAAAAATATGTAGTTTGCTGAGCAACACTGAAAAAAAGCTCTGTCACTCCTTTGTTGGTCTCTCTCAATGAAGGCATAACTTGCTTCAGATCACTTTATTCTAGGCATGTTAGATGTGAGTTTTTGAGTTGGAATTGATTTTGCTTTCATTAGTTTGTCCTCAGGTAAGAGTTCTTCCATAAGCAATAAGAAACGGATTTTCTGTTTTTGTTTATTTATTGGCTATTTAAAAACAAGATTGAATATATGTCATGAGGTGGGGCAGACTCTGTAATGACTGTATAACATAGGTAGGGTCAGTCTGAAAAAGCATATTATATTGAACTTTCCAAGTATCTGTTCTTGGTTGTCCTAGGGATCCATTGTTAGACATGAAACAAATCACTTTTGTTATTCTTTGTGAAAATTAATGTGTTGTCCATGAACACAAAGATGAAGGTTCTGTCACACACACAGTAAAACATTATCTTTGTGTAATGTTGATAGATTGTTCTGAGCCAAACAAATTCTCTGGGTTCATTCAGTAGCCTATATTTGTTAAGTTTAGGGGTGTAGTTTATGACCACGAGAACTAAAAAGGAATTAAACCCATCAATATTACTTCATTAATATACTGCTGAACTAAATGAACAAACAAGTCAGTTATTAAATTGCTGAGGAGAAAAAAAGAGACTGAATAAATAGATAAACTTACTGAAATTGTCTATAAAGTACATTAGTTAATTATGTGAAAAACTGAGGGCTTTCTTAAGACTTACCTTTTTTAAAAAGGATTTATTTATGCATGCAAGAAGTGGGGTACAGGCCAGGGGTGCAGGGGGTAAGAGGACTCTCCAGAGACAAAATGGGGAGCAGAACAGGCAGATCTACTGAAATAGACTGCTGAGGGAAGGACGGGTGAGACAGGAGAGGTCTGCTGCACCATGTGGGTAGCTCCCTTGCTGGTCGGGGATCGAACTCACAGAGGCTGCAGATAGCTTCATGGTGCTGTGCTTAACCCCTTGCGCCACTAGGGAGGCCCACTTAAGACTTATCTTGAGCAACTTTCTGCCTCCATCTCCTGAGGGATCAAAATGATGTCGTTTCCATCTAAGACCATGTTCTGGAGACACAACTTTTCTCCACCAGCTCCTGTGTAATCCTATATTCACAATGCCTAGTACAAAATTTTTGAGACACACCAGTAATGTTTATCAAGGTGTAACACTGCCTGGGGTGTAAAAATTTAATATTTACAATCGGTCTCAACTGTTCCTCATGCTATATTGTTCTTAAGCTCCACTGTTTTTCATAACTTTTGATTAGGAGCTCCCTCCTCTATGCTATGTG